CATTTCTAAGGAAATTCCATGAGCTGGCAATCAAAGTCCTGCACCCAAATGACCACAAAATGTGTCCAGAGCGGCAAGGGGCAGCAGATAAATATTAGTTCCCTTGGACCGTTTGCAGGCATGAAACAAGTTTAAATATCTTCAAATTTGTTCCACAATTTGCAGGCACAAATCTGCACTGCCTCCAAACCGAGTTGAAATGAAGGCAAAGCGGCAAATCTGTCTCCTGGCAGCAGTCTAGGCTCGGTTTAATTTACATTTATCCACACGTTTAACCAGGCAGCTCCGACCTGCAGTCGCAGTTCATTTGCCCAGTCTGGGCTACACAAACAGGAAGCTACTGACACCGTACAAAATGTTAAACACTTTGGCAACGTTTGCTTAAAACTTTTGCACGTCTCTGGAGTGCTGCAGGCGGGAGCTGGGAGTTGGAGTTGGAGTTGGGCTGTGGAGTTTTTGCCACAGAAACAACAGTAGCAGCGGCAACAATGGCAGCAAAGGTAAACGGGGCAAACAAAAGGCACGCCCGGAAATGGCAAAGCTGCTTGGCTACAAAAACAACAAACAGCAGAAACGGGCAGGGAGACAACAGACAGGAGACAGGAGCAGGAGCTGGGTCCTGCTGCTCCAACCTGGAGCAGTAGCTGGCCACTCATTGTCGGTCGCCATGGCGAATCCTCAGGTGTTTTGCGCACAGTTTACTACGTTTTTCATTTAACAAACACCGGCCAACCCGCCACCCAGTTGTACCCTGCACCAGGCAAAGGGTATGCCAATTCTGAAAAGGTTTCCAACCCAATCTCTGGCCACTGCTTTCAGAGCTGCTCGCTGCCAGGGTATGCTCATAGTCCTTTGCCTTTTGCTGCTTGGTTGCTAGCTTGGGTTCGGCTCGTTTGTCCTGCTGCTGGTGTGTCCTTCAGCTTGTTGTTTGGTTTGCGGTTGCCAACGTACAGCCAAACGACACCTTTTGGCTCTGATTGTTGCTGCTGCTGCTGCTGCTGCTGCTTCCGCTGCTGTCCGAGCATAATTAAAAATGCACATAAATTTAGCTTAGCGTTGACGCACACACATTCTAATTGGGTTAATTATGTCTCGCCTGGACCTTTAAAACTGTCGCCGCAGCATGTGCGAGTGCCTGTGCCAGGACCTTCGAGTACATTAACAGCCAAATTATGTTGTCGCACCGGTGAATGGCACCGACAAAGGCCAGGGGAACATGCGGGACTTTCCCTATTTTGTGTTTGTGTAAGCCTTTCAGTTGCATAAATAAATAAAGTTATATAGCAATAGCAATATTTAGTTTGAGCCAAGATTATAGCTTCAAGTTGCACTTCAACTCAAGCGAAATTGGACCCTTAAGCAGCGCTCAATCCCTTTGCCTGCCTCCTCCAGTCGCAACTTTTCCCTCACAGCCCAAAGTTTAATTTAAATTTTAAGCCAAAAGCCTCTCTCTCTCTCTACCTTAGAGACCCATGCCATGTTCCATCAGTGTGCTCTGGGGCAACACTTTCCCCCTCTTGATGCTGCTGCCCTCTGACACGTTTAATTACGCATACGCCCCGTTTGACATGTGCCGTGGCCTGTGGTCCGCTTTTACGGCCCCGACTTGATGCATCATTTAGGCCACAATTTGGGCCAGCTAACGGCTTAAGTGGCCGGCAAAAAGTAAGGTTTTTATGTGGCCGCTTCTACGTGTGCGGTCCCCAAAGGCTGAAACCCGAGAGCAGCAATAAAACAGATTTCAAGTCTAGAAAATGACATGAAAAGTGCGGCCACAAATAATAAAACATAATAATAATAATAATAATAATGCGAGGAGCAGGACGGGTGCCAAGGACTAATCCGAAATGTGCGCACAAAAGTATGCAGCATTTAATGGCAAATGTCAACAAATGTCGGAAGAAAGAGCCAGCGAAAGGGGAAGGGAAACAAGGGGAAGCCAACCAACTCGAGAGAGACAAAATTAATTACTCTACGTGGAAATGTAATTACGAAAATATTTAGCCTCACCCCAGCCACAGCACAGCTCAGCGGAATGCCATTTGTCAAGGCGTTGTCCCGCCGAGCAGATTTTCTTCGGGTCACATTCTCACACAGAGAGAGAAGGGAGAGGGAGAGGCAGAGGGAGAGGCAGAGGGAGCTGGCTCTGTGGCTACCAATAATATTCCGCATTCTGTAATTAATGATTTATGGGCCATGGGCCCATGAGCCAATTAATCAAACTAATCAAAATTTCATTAAACTTTGACGCAGTGCAGCGCCTTTTTAAATGCCTACACGGAATGGAGTTCCCATTCCTATCTATATCCTCTTGCCTCCTCATTTGTGCGTGCCATATGCACATTAATTCTGCAAATGTAAAACTTTTCCTTTTACATAGATACGTACATATTTACATACATAGTTACATAGTTGTAGACTCTGGGCGCTGCGGTAATTATCCTGCCATTGCCATTGCCTTGCTATGCTATTGGTTTTGCAGTTGCAGTTGGCCTAGATGGGGGCTTGGCTTTGGGCTAAAGCTGGCACTTTGAACTTTTCTCTATCTGTATCTGCTGCATCCACACAGATAACAACTCACTTCTATTCCATATTCCAGCACACATTATAATGCATAAACGCCTCAGCCTTTCCACCCAAAAGTATGCCAGCGAATCGGCTTTTGTTCCTGGCAAACAAGCGGCGCAAATTGAATTCCCAGCCAGTGGCATGTCGCGAATGGAATGGCCACGTCTCGCTTACACTGCTGACAGCTTCGCTGACATCGCAAGCCATAAACACCAAGGGCCAGAGGCGGGTACGGGTCTGCGTTTGAGTTTGTGTTTGCCTTCGGGCGCAAAACCGCAAAATGTAATTCCCTTATCAAAAAGTGACAAGCAGCGTGCGTAGTTAATGCAATTTTGCAGCGCATTTAACATGACGCTGAGCTGTCGCTGAGGCAAAGAAAGAAAAGGAAAACGGAACAGAAAGCTGATGGGAAGTAGCCACCCAATGCAGGGCTACTGCGCGGTGCCGGAAGTTGTTTACGCGAAGGCTGCCATTTGCTCCTCAATCTACACTGAGGACTGGCTGCAAATTACAATTCCCCATGCTGATTGCAGTCCCAGTCCCCCTGTCCAAGGAGCACTCGGATTGTCCTAACTCAAAGCGAATGCCTGCCTGCGGCTCATTCACATTCACACTTTACGCCTAGATTTTGAGCGGATCCTTTAACTGTTTTGCATATTTGCAGCGGTACGTGGTCCTTGCTTCTGTCTGCTTTTTGTTTTCGTTTGGTAGTTTTGCATTCATTGCAAGAGAGAGAGAGATAAAAATAATGAACATTGCAAAGGCAAAAGTCGGAAAGCGAGAAAAATACCAACTTCGCGCCCACTCTCTGGCTCCGTGCGTGCTGCGATTCCGCCAAGTTTTTGCTGGCATGGATTTATGTGTGCAAAATATCCTTACACACACACACACGGCTGTATCCTCCTTCTTTTGAGTGAGAAATGGGACCTGGACTCTCAGGCAAATTGCTTGTAAGTTCAACTCGTATTTTGCATTGTGCCTCACTTCCGACAGTTAAATTAAAGCCATTGTCTGTCCGAGTTCTGGTTTTTAGCAGGAAGCTCCGCCCACAAACACTCGCCCAAAAGCAGTTGAAATACGACAGCGAAAACGATTTGTTGCAAAAGTGTTTCGTAAATCTTATTACCAAGCCACCAACAAATAGTTTGGCTTCGTTTTTGGGCTCTTTCAGCTGCGATTTTAATTAGTTCCGCGAGCGTTGAAGGAAAGAATTCTTATCGGACTGGATAAGCCATAGCCAAAGGAAATGGAGTGGCGCAGAAAGAAATAGTTCCATTAGTGGATAGTTCTTCCATTTCATAAGTATCTATGCCACACCCCGAAGCCACATGCTCGAAACAAAAGGCAGCTGTGAAAATCGCATTCATTAGGGGTAGTCACACTCTGTGGAAAAGAAAGCAGCGGCAGCCAGCCAGGCAGCCACAGACAGACACCACAATGACACACAGAAAGTGTTGAGCTGTAAATGAGGGAACAATGTGGCCAAAAGCGGGACAGATAAATAACAAAAAATAACAGACAAACACACAACAAAAAGCGTAGGGGAAAGGAGCGTAACGGAAAATGCCAAGTGGAAAGGCTTCGAGTGCAGGCCATGCGTGGTGCCGGAAAAACAAACTCGCGGGGAAAATGCAAAAACGGATGTGTAAATAATTTAGACGAGTTGGCAGGACCTCCCAGGCACACACAAAGAGAGTGTGTGTTTGTATCTTTTTAGTTTATGTATCATTAAAAAATACTTACAGCAAAACAAAGAAGAAACAGGAACAGCATAATGAGAGAAGAGCCAGACGGCAGACGGAAAATGTGCCAGGCAAACAGAAGGAGTGCAGAGGGGTTGCCGGAACGTGCGAGAAATGCAATAATTATATGCATACAAAGATACGAACAGAGACATGCACAGTTATTTTTTGACATGCTCCAAATTAAAAAGAAGCAAAGCGAGAGAGGGAGCAGGCAGGCGAGAGCGAAGCAGGCAGAGAGGGAGCGAAGCAGTGAGAGAGAGCTTTAGAGCAGTGAGTGAGCTAGAGCGAGAGCGAGAGCGAGCGAGAGAAGTAAATTACTTCGCCGCAAAACTGCATACAATCAAATGCAACGGGATTAAAAACCCAACGTGTAACAGTAAGAGTAAGAGTAAATGTAAGCAAGAGTTAGGTGTAAAGTTAACAGAAGCAGCAAAGCGATAGGAACAAATGTACACTGAGCGAAATATGTGTATGAATAATGAATGAAAGAAGAACTAAGAAGCAAAGAACTTAAATGCAAGCAAGTGTTAGCAAGATTTAAGAACTAAAGAAGAATTAAATGGAAATTAACTTACTTTGAAACGGATGTGAGCAGATTGAGAGACTTCATAGATGCAAATGCTGTAAAAAATAATTAAATTACAAATATTTCAGGTAGAACAATGTCAGAGGGAAACTTACTTATTAGAGATGTTTATTTTCAATTTTCTCCCAGTTTCAGTCACGGCAGTCTCTGGCAATTGTCAGTCTGCTTGCAGGTAGTTTGGGGTTCCTCCACCTGGTCGCACCTCCAGCAGCCTTTGCATATCCTAAACAAAAAAAAAACCAAGAAAAAACTATGTTAATGTGTGAGCTGCATGGAAGTGAGGCGAACTTAAAAGCAAGGCATGGCACAAACATGCTCGAATCCGCCTGCGGAGCAAACCGCAGACATTGAAAGTGTCGCAGGAGCAGCAGCCAGCCCCAACTGTCTCTCTGTCTCTCACTCTCGATAAATCTCTTCGGATGTGTTGTTAACTGCCGCCGGCATAGCTGCTGCTACTGTTGCAGCCCGCACCCACCTTTTTCTAGGACTCCAGGATAGACAGCCAGACGGAGTCAGCGTAGCGCCTCAATTTGCACGCTTCGTTATTCAATTAGACACTCGACACACACACACACACAGACACAGCCAGACAGACAGCAGCAACCAGAGTGGCAGCAGAGATAACCTCCGACAACACGGATACTCGTAATTTTGATTGATGGCCCAATAATGGCGGTGATTTATCATATTTGCATGCTAACATTTAAGCCCTAGCTCACTACCGACTCTCTGTCTCTCTCTCTCTCTCAGCTCTCCGGACATGCTGGCAAATTAGCCGGATAATATAATTAAATTTAGCCCTTGCCAGGCGTTTGGATATTTATGAATAAAATTGCACATTGAAGCTATTGGGATGCGACAGCAGATTGGGAATACATTTAGTTTGAATAAAGAACTTAATAAATATTCTGAAAATGTTGTAGCAGCTGGGAGAAAGTTTTTACTGAAAGTCGAAAGGTTTTGGTCTTCTTTTGGTCTCTTCAGCAGGAACTTGTCTAAATAGCCAAGAAATGTACAAAAGAGCAAGCAATACGTACACATGTACATTCTACATACGTTCCACATGCATACATACATTCTACATGCACATGTACATAAGTGTCTGAATGCGCCGCTAATTGGTCTTTTGGTCTACAAATGAAAGCGTTACTCTGGCAACGAGCTGACTGCCACGTGCTTGCAGTTGCTGCCTGCTGCTCCTTGCGGCGACAGCCCTGTGGCAATACGCAATATTTGTTAAAGTTTTTTTTCCATTGCATTCTCTCTTTCACTCTCTCCTTAGCTGGCTGCTCTGCTGCATGTCTATAAAATCCGGCTTAAGCCGCTTGCTACCTGTGTGATATGTATGCAATTTTTGCTGCCACTCAACACCACACACACACACACACACACACACATTGGGCAACAATGCCACACTCTCTCACACACACACACACATGTACACGGCTACAAATAAAAACGAAAAGTGGGACGCATTTTTGCCAGCAGCTTTAGCCTGCCCTGTGTCCCAGCCCTGCCTGTGGCTTTGCCGACGGCTTGGGACGCTGGTAAACACTCAAATCCAATTAAATTTAATACGACTTACTTGGCTTTGTTGCAGCCTCGCATGTGGGACAGAGACAGTGCAAATGCACGAACGAATGAAAGAGAGGGGTGGGAGAGTGCTGGAGCGTGGACTGCGGACTGCGGATTGTCGTGTCCCGTTTGTTTGGCATTTGGTTGCTCTCGTTCTCTGGTTTCCACTCCCTTCTCCACTTCTCCACCTCTTCTCATTGTTTTTGTTTTAATTCACTGTTTGTTTTCATTTTTCAACGCTTTTTGGCTGGGCTTTTGCCTTTTGCTTTGTGGTTACACTTGGCAGCGGGTATGAGGAGTTTGATCAGACATTTGTTCCTCTCTCAGTTGTTTTGACTTTCTTCCGAAAGCTTTCGGGCAACAATTGCCGAAAATCTGTGGAGAATAGAATGAAAAGATCAAATAAGAAATGAATTGTAAAAACAAATTATTAAAATAATATTATTTCCCACATTCCAAAGAGCATTCAAATTTCGCCACTAGAAACTCCCCTTCCATCAGTTTATTTCTGTAATATTATTACGGCAGCTGCTCTTTTGTTCCGTTTAGCCAAAAGCTTTGGACTTGACTTGGGCTCGGCTCAATTAAAGCTTTTCCTCTTTGCACATACAATTTGCAGCTGAAAATGAGCTTAAGCGAGCTAATGGAGTTTGTGTGTGTGCCAAGTGCTCTGCCCGCTGATCAATAAACTCAATTGTCTGTCGGCAAACCGGCTAAGCAGTAAGCAGGAAATCAGAGCAGAGCAAAACAATTGCAGCTTAAAATCTCACACACGAGGCAGTCAATGAACGTGGTGGCAAACCGTTCCGGTTCGGTTTCATTTCACAGAAATTATTTACACTGAGGCGAGTCCGAGTACTTGCTGTTACCTGTGGCCATGAATATGCAGGAGCTGCAGCTGAAATATATGCATGGAAAGTGTGCAAAGTGCCAGCAATCTATGTCACATGCAAAACGAGAGTCCTTCGAATGGATTGTACTTCAAGAATGAATATTTGTCCATTATTTTGCATGCCCTAATGAATGGAGTTTGTTATTGGAGCAGCAACAACTAAAAACCCTTAAAGTGATAAATAAAACACTCGAAAAATAATTAAAATATGGAATTAAATATAATTTTGATTATACATTTGATCGCATTAATCGGGTTACCTCACAACTTTTTTCGCTGAAGTTTTATCAATTTTTGCAACAGAAATTCAAAGCCTTGAAAACTCCAACAAGTCAAAACTTGGAAAACAGAGAAAAACCCCAAATCCAAGTCGTCTGTGAGTTTTCAAATTTGTTTCGTCCAGCCGAAAGCCCTTCATTTGTTTAGTATAATTTTGTAGCTCGTTCCGTTCACACATAAAAATTAAAATTTTTTTGTGAATTTCTAGAATTTTTTTTTGTAAAATTTCCAAAAAATGTCTGATTTAAATCTTTCGTTTGCCGATGCCTTGGCAGCAACAGATTGCCTGCTAACTGGTGGTGCTGGTTGCAACAAGTTGAAGACACGCAAGAAGTCAGCTGTGGGCAAAGCCAAGGCAAGGAAGTCACTCTGTCGCAGGGCCACAAAACGCGCCACGAAGCCCAAGAAGCGCGCCACGAAGCCCAAGAAAGGATGCTCAAAGCCCAAGAACAAGACTAACGCTCGTGCCAAGGCCAAGAAGGCGGCCAAAAAGGCCACCAAAAAGTGCGCTCCAACCCAGAAGAAGAATTAGAGAATCAAATAAAGATTTTCTTAGCTTTTATTTATGCATTTTCGCTGCAGTTTTCCTTCCGCTCATCCCAGACCCCGCAAACTGTCCAAATTGCGTGGCTTCTTGTCTGCTGTCCGCTCCTGTGGTGCCTCCAAATGCAGTGGCTTTGCAGCGTCCACCGTTTGTGGCAAGCCCAGAGCCTCCAGGCCGTACAGCAGTTGCAGCAACGAGATCAGACAGAGCGCGATGAGTGCGAGTTTCATGTTGGGGCTTGCAGCTCTCGGAGCAGAATGAATGCCAAAAGCGAGGTGGGTCGCGATTTTATACCCCCGCAATTATGGTTCGACCTTGGGGCAAAACAAAGCTCAAAGCAGCTGGGGAACTGACTGGGGCGGATGGGAGGGATGATGCTAAAATTAAGCGCAAATCGCATCCGAGTTGGATTACAAATGAGAGACACAGACTTCCGGCTGGCAATTAAGAAAATTGGCCAACCAACCAGCCAGCCACCTGCAAAGCGTTTACATAATTGATTGTTAATATTTGACACCAGCCAGCAGCCACCCACTTAAACCACCACCCAACAACACACATTTCTGTGGCCTTAACAATGAAAAACAATTTCGAACCCCGACTCTGGCTCGAACTTTCTTCAATTACTTTTCGCACGATTTGATTTTACATTTAACGATTTTTCGCACTTAATTAGAAGCCAACCAGCGCCAGCGCCAGCGCCAGTGTCGATGTCAGTGGCAGACCAAAGGATTGCCAGGGGTTGGGCGTTGATTTGATTAAATGTGAAGATGAATTTTAATTAAAATTCAACCCCCAGGGCCAAGTTTTTTGACACTCCACATTCTACTCCTTTCACACCCCCCCCGCCAATAGAGCAATAAAAGCCGCAAGCTCATGCTCGAATTTATGGAGGAGACCTGCGAGCAGGTCCCTTTGTGGGCTTAGTCATTGTCGGCCACTTAATTTATGCAAAATGAAAATTAAAGATCCAACTTTTAGCCCACGGATTAATGCAAATGGCAGCCTAATGAAATTTTGAAAACTACTTACAAGTCACTGCCCTCAAATGGGGAAATATTTGTGTGAACAATAGCTGTGACTGCGGGCAGAAAGTTTGTTCAAACATGCAAAAAGAAAGTGCCGCAAGGACTGTGAATCAAACGCACAATTTGGGGAATAAGAACAACACTGGCCCAACAGCTGAATGCACTTAGATCAAATATTATTTCGAATTTTGCTAATAGTTAATGGAAGCTCAAATTATAGGAAGAATTTTAAGCTATTACAAATAAATTCTGAAAAATGTTTTAAAAATATGTTGTAAATATTTAGTAGTAGAAATATAAAAAGCAAAATGCTCAAAAATGAGCGCACAAATGTTTCCTGAAATTTCCGTTTCAATTTCCAAAAGTTAATCCAAATTTTAGTGATAAAAAGACCCCAATAAGCATCCAATTAATCTTCTTATTAATCCCAACATACCCCTTCAGCCCATGGGTAATTCATAGGGAATATGAAAACTTTTCCACAATGTGTGGGGCGAGGCTTAGGGCTTGCAGGGCAGTGGCTGGTGCCAGTTTCCGCACTGTTTTTTGTCATTTCCATGCCGCTCATTGTCAGCTTTAAGTAAGCAACTTCCTCGTTTTGGTTGTGTGTTTTCATATTTGTTGAAAAAGTTCTCTGCCCACAAATGCAGACAAATATGGAAAAACTCATGAAATGCAATAAATTTTCAAATATATTTTTCGTGTGCGCGCCAGGCAGCCAGCAGCCAGTCGCAGTTTTTTGTCTGTTTCAGACGCTGACTTTTCTTTGTTGGGTATTTGTTTTTGTGGCAGGCAGGATCCAGCTCCACTATGCATGCATAGAATTTTCATTGTTTTTAAAGTGAAAAGAGCACACAAAACTGATAAAGCCAAAACAATCAAGCAACTGAAACAGCGACAAGCATTGACAGAGACTGGGCACAGAAGAGTGAAGACGGGAGAGTGTGCCATAAATCAAAGGAGTTATTGCGTAAAAACAAAAGACAAATATTTATGAGCTAGCCCAAAAATACACAGCAGATATCGTACGACTGAATGACACATACAAATATTGACTTGAAAGTCCTTAAGCACTTTTGAGGCACTTCTTTTGGCACTCATTTTAGCTCACAATTTCCCCGTGTCCTTCACACCTTGTAAACACTTCAATAACGTTTAAATGTAGCTTGAAACCAATCACACATTGTGAGCACTTCATTTGCCACAACGTCATGGAGTAGAACGGGAAAGGGAAAATCCAGCGCGACTCACACGAAATTTATGTGTGGCGACTGGTTGTAAATTTTGAGAGATTTTCCAAGGAATTGCTCAAAGCATTTGACAGACATAACAGCAACAAAAATGCTAGCAACACAAATAAAAGCCAGCACTGATAGCACTTCGCGGCTCTGAGTTTGTCTGATCAAAAATTCTTCAACGCGCATCGGAATCACCTGCCAGGCGATAAGACGAGCTGTCGAAGCAGTGGCACTAGGCGCCTCCTCTATATAAGCCAGCGCCAGTTATTTGTACAACACAATAGACGCAACGTGCCGCAACGGAACGGAGCCTACAACAGCGAACAAAATGTTGAAACTTTGCGCCGCTTTCCTGCTGCTGCTGCTGGCGCTGTGCGGCGCTGCCTGGGCAGCCGACAGCTACGATGGGTGAGTGGAGATTCGGTTGTGGCTTGGCGTCAGATGAGTGAGAGATCGAGTCCTCTTTAGCTGCAAAGTCTACGACATCAACACGCGCTCCGTGTTCGAGAAGGAGCTGCTGCTGCGCCTGTCCCAGAATGCCGATTTGGATTTCTTCATTTTGCCACGCTCCCTGGACGCAGCCAGCCGTGTGATGGTGCAGCCGCAGGATCAGCAGGGCTTTGAGCAGCTGCTGCAAAAGTTCGACGTGGACTACGTGGTGGTCAATGAGGACCTCGGCGTGTCCCTGCGACAGGAGCAGCTGGAGAACCAAAGCCAGCGCCTGATGGCCCAACGTTCGGCATCGCGTGCCATCAGCTTCACGGCCTTCCATCGTCACGCAGAGATCAATGCGTATCTGGATGAGCTGGCCGCTGCCTATCCCAGTCGTGTGTCCGTGCAGGTGGCTGGCAAGTCGTACGAGAATCGTGACATCAAGACCATCACCATCAGCAATGGCGACGGCAGGTCGGGCAAGAGCGTCATCTTCCTGGATGCGGGCATCCATGCCCGTGAGTGGATTGCCCATGCCGGTGCGCTGTATGTGATCCATCAGCTGGTGGATAACTTTGCTGCCAACTCGGCGCTGCTGAAGAACTACGATTGGGTCATCCTCCCGGTGGTGAATCCCGATGGCTATGAGTACAGCCACACGAGCAACCGCATGTGGCGCAAGACCCGCAAGCCTGTGAGCTCCGCCTGCTATGGCACCGACGGCAATCGCAACTTTGACTACCACTGGGGTGAGGTGGGTACCTCGAGCGACTCCTGCGCGGACACCTTCAAGGGCGAGACGGCCTTCTCCGAGCCAGAGACCCGACTGGTGCGCGATTTGCTGCTGAGTCTGAGGAGTCGCGGCAAGTTCTATTTGACGCTGCACTCCTTTGGCAACTATTTGCTGTTTCCCTATGGCTGGACATCGTAAGTCGTACCAGATGGCGGAGGATCGGAGATCATCATTTAACCTTTATCCTTTATAACTTAGCGCCCTGCCCGTTAGCTGGCGCGACATTGATGATGTGGCTCAGGCTGGCGCTGCTGCCATCAGGGCTGCCACTGGCACCAAGTACACCGTGGGCAGCTCCACCAATGCGCTCTATGCCGCTGCTGGTGGCAGCGATGATTATGCCTTTGCTGTGGCCGATTTCCCCATTTCCATTACCATGGAACTGCCTGCTGGCGGCACTGGCTTCAATCCCACCACCGCCCAGATTCTGCCCTACGTCCAGGAGACCTGGGTGGGCATCAAGGCCATGGCCCAGAAGGTCGTTGACAAGTACTAAGCGGAGTGCAATAAACCCCACAATATTCCCCCAAAACTCACTTACCCTTTGGTAAAGTTTCCTCATTTTGTTTTCCATTGGGAGGCGCCCCGCTGCGAGTTGTTGGCCATGACACACTGGCCATAATTGTTGGAGCCACTCGACTCTCGAGCAGCTATCGTTCGTTGTCTGCTAATTGAGATCATCGAAGTCAAGTGGCGACGCTGGCTTATCAAAGCTCCTTCGAAATGGAACCACGATCAACGCTGGGCTATCAGTAGAAATGGAATAGTTTTAGACGCTGATTGCTGCTCGTTTTGCTGCTCGCCTCAAACTTTGCTGCTTATTGCTGCTTTTATTTTGCTTATTTGTGCCATAAATTGATTAGGCAAGTGGATACTTTTGCACCACTTTGCGTGCCATGGCCGCAATGCCCACGAAAGTTTCCTTTACCATGCGGTCGATGGCTGAGGCTGGTGGATCGAAGCCAGTGCCGCCGGGCGGCAGCTCCATGGTGAATGAGATGGGAAAGCCCGCATTGAAGGCATAATCATCGCTGGCACCAGCAGCCACGTAAAGCTTGTTCGTGGAGCTGCCAATCTCGTAGAAGGTGCCGGTGTCGGCGAGTATGGCATCGAAGCCAGCTTGGGCTACCTCATGCAGATCGGCAACGGTGTCGGGCAGGTCCCTGGAAGAGCAGAATTAGATCAGAAGATGCAGAACTAGTTGTGTAGCTGCACTTACGAGGTCCAGCCCCATGGGTAGAGTATGTACGGGCCAAAGGAGTGCAGCGTGAGATACATTTTGCCGCGAGCTGCGTGGCTGTGTATAAGATCGCTCACCACCTGCGCTTCCGGCTCCGAGAAAGCATTCGAGCCGGCATAGGTATCAGCACAGGGATTGTCCGAGGCGCCTCCCTCGTTCCAATGGAAATCGAAATTGCGATTGGGATCCGTGCCAATGCAGTCGGCGCTGCTAGGCTTGCGGGTCTTGCGCCACATGCGTGTGTCCTCCGATAGCTGCGTGTACTCATAGCCATCCGGATTGACCACTGGGAGGATCACCCAATCGTAGTCCAGCAGCAGATCTGCATTCTCCGACAGATTGTTTACGAGCTCATCGATGAGGTAGACCACAGTAGCGGGGGATATCCACTCGCGGGCATGGAAGCCGCCATCCACCAAGATGACATTCTTGTTCCGTCTGCCATCCCCATTCGTGATGGTCACCGTTTTCATCAAGCGCCGCTCGTAGCTCCTGCCCACGGTCTTGACGAACACGCGACGTGGTTGCTCTTGTGCGAGGTCCTCAATGTACTGATTGATCTCCCCGTGGCTGTAGAAACGCTCCGTGCCCAGTCGCCCGTTGCCTCTGTAGGGGAACTTGTTGCGCAGCTTGCGATCCGTGGCAAACTGTCGGCGCAGCGTCCGCCCCACGTTGCTGTTAAGCACCCTGTAGTTCAGCGAGTGTCCATCCAGCAGTTGGACAAAGTTCAGCTGCTCCTCCGGGTGGACCATGATGCGCGCCGGCTGACTGCCGCTCGAGAACACCTCGTAGTGTGTGTCATTCATGGACAACACGGCCAGCGCCTGATCCAGCACAGCCGAGCGGGCTTTTGCTTTCGGCAACTCATAGATCTTGTACCTAAAGGGAAACAATCAAAGTTGAGGCTATCCTTGGGGTACTATTGCTGTGTCCTACCCTTCATATTTGTTGGACTGAACCTGCTGCAGGACCAGGCAGCTCAGCGCGAGCACAAGCCACAAAACTGACATCTTTCCACGTTGCCAGTTCGCGGAGAAATAAACTTTGGTGCTATCGGCGGCAACATCGAAACGTTATCAGTGCTTTAATCAACGAGAAAAGTTTCAAATCAGATAAAGTATAACTTTATTGGAGGATGTTGATTGTTCACAATAAAATTAACAAAACATTTTACATGTGCCCAGCAAAATGCACTGCGCCAAACTACATACCAGAATGGGCGCGGAAACTCACCATTTTCAGTCGTTATAATCTACTTTATTTATAAACACACACGAGAGTATGTACTGTATTTAAATTCTTAGTAATTAACACTTAATTACGGAACACATCGAAAACGCTGCGAGCAAAACAAAACACGAAAACAAATGCCGCTTGCGCGCTCTAACAGCCCACTAACCAGTTAACATGGGGATAACATGCCGTTAGAGTTTAACATGCGCTCGTCGCTCTCACTTCATGTTATTCAAAGTAGTTAACATAGAGCTGACATGCAGCTTACATTTACAGTACATTTGCAGAATGTGCGCACTCTTCCCATGTTATTGATGTCTGCTCATATGCCGTGCATGTCCGATCATGTCTGTTTTGGTCCATTTCTGTTCTCTCCTTTCTTTTTCGTTCGTCTGTGTTCGTTTTGTTTTTGTAATTAAGTTTTATTTGCACACCGAAGCTTACTTCTAGTAAATCTCAATGAGCTTTTCGGCCATAGCACGAATGCCGATCCACGTTTCGGTGACGAACTCGTCGATGCGGGTGACGGGGGGATTGAAGCCGATGCTGCCAGCGCCCGTCAGCTCCATGGTGATGGACACATTGAAGCCAACATAGAAACCGTAATCGTCGCTAGCGCCCGCTGCAATGTACAGCACATTGGTGGAGGAGCCGTAGGTGTAGACGGTGCCCGTGGCATTCTCAATGGCCTCGGCGCCAGTGCGAGCAACTGCATCCAGATCCTCCCAGGTGTCGGGCAGATCGCTGGAAGATTAACGTTTAAGATTCGACAAAAGGATGGGGGAAAGATAGAGGACACCCACCTGGTCCAGCCCCAGGGGTACAGGATATAGTTGCCATAGGAATGGATGGTCAGGTACATGACGCCGCGATCCGCCAGCGTGTGCATCAGATCGCGCACCACAATCGTCTCCGGCTCAGAGAAGGGCGTAGGACCGGCGTAGGTATCAGCACAGGGATTGGAGGAGGCGCCCTCCTCGTTCCAGTGGAAGCCAAAGTTGCGATTGGGATCGGCACCGTAGCAGGTCTGTCCGGCGTATGTGTACGGCTGGCGGGTCTTGCGCCACATGCGGGCCAGCGTGCCACTCTGCGAGTGCTCGTAGCCATCGGCATTGACCAGCGGCAGAATAACCCAATCGTAGTCCTGCAGGAGATCAGCATTCTGCTCAAACTGCTCCACCAGCTGATCAATCACGTACAGCACCGCCGCCGGGGATATCCACTCGCGGGCATGGAAGCCACCGTCCATGAAGATCACCTTCTTGCCGGCGCGTCCATCCCCATTGCTGATGGTGATGGTCTTCAGCACACGTTTCTCATAGGACCAGCCCACAGTCCTGACAAACACTCGACGCGGGTAGCGCTCGGCCAGATCGTCGATGTAGTTGATGATCTCCTCGTGGGTGTAGTAGCGCTCCGTGCTCAGGCGCCCCTTGCCCGTGATGGGACTCAGGCGACGCTGCAGCTGTCGCAGTGCAAACTCCTCGGCTATGGAGGCGCCCAGATTGTCATTGAGGAGGCTGTGTGCCAGCTGCTGGCCCTGGAGCAGCTCCTCGAACTGTGCTAGCTGCGCGGGACTGACGATCAATCTGGATGGACGACCCAGCAGGCGGCTCTCGCTGAGGAAATCGAAACCCTGCAGGCTGAGCTGATGCAGGAGTTGTGCCTGCAGAGCATTTTCTGGCGTCACTTCGTAGATGCGGTAACTAAAAGGATTTCCCAGATATAAACAACCAACCGCACGAGGAGTGCGGAATCCAATCGATTCCTTACCCTTCATAGTCCTGATCGGCAGCCACCAGTGCGGCAACCAGCAGCAGAACAAGCAAACCCAAGAACTTGGTCATATTTCTGTCTCTGACTAAGCGACCGCGTGCCGTGTGGCTGCCACTTAAATAGCCAAAACCCAGCCAGTGCCCGCCCAACCGCCACCATATCTAATCTGCTTCGAACATCAATAAATAATGGACAACTAGACTGATCGCAGAGATCAGCAAAACTTCGCAATTCGACGAATGAATGTCTATTTATTTACGATCTTCAACTGTGGCTGCCGTAACGTCTTATCACCTCCACGGCCATGGCACGCACACCCACCCAACTCTCGGTGACGATGCCCTCAATGTGCGAGACCCAGGGATCAAAGCCAAGAAAACCGCCGGCAGGCAGCTCCATGGTCATGGCCACACTGGCATTGGCCACGCCCAGCGCATAGTCTACGGTGTCACCCGAGGTGGGATATAGCACATAGTTGGTGCTGCCATATGAATAGATGCCATTGGTGGCGTGGACAATGGCCATGGCACCAGCATCGGCCACCGCCATCATGTCATCGTAGTTGTTCGGCAGGGTGCTGCAAGGGGAAGAGGCAAATGGTGAGTGAATTTAAATATAACTCTGCCAAATATTCCAATTATAGCCCACACTTTTCTCTCCTACTTCAACCAATTTTAATTATAGAAATTCCCTTTCTCGCACACAGATAACATGACCATTAACTACCACTTTTCATACTATCTCCGCTTGTCCCATAAATCCCAAATGCCATGCCGCAGACCCGCTATAAAGAGAGTACGAGTACCCCCAGCGATCGCAGCCAGAATGTCTCGAGTTCCAGGCGCACTCCTCATTCTTGTGGCGGCACTCGGCGCTCAGGCTGCGTTTCTCCATGGACGCCAAAGAGCTGCACTGCAGACGCACGACTACTACAGCTATGAGCAAATGCTGGATTACCTGGATGGCTTGGCCCACAGCTATCCCAGTCGAGTGTCGCTAGAGGATTGGGGCAGAACTCAGGAGAATCGCACACTCCGCAGCATAACCATCACAAACGGAGATGGGCGCAGGGATAAAAAGGTAATCTTCATCGATGCCGCCTTCCATGCCCGGGAGTGGCTCACACCTGCAGCAGCTCTGTACGCCATCGATCGGCTCGTGGTGGGTTTTGAGTTCAACAAGGAACTGCTCAAGGACTACGATTGGATTGTGCTGCCGCTGGTCAATCCCGATGGATACGCCTTTTCGCGCACCATCGAGCCTCGTTGGCGAAAGAACCGCAGTCCCAATGGACGTGGCTGCCATGGAACTGATCTAAATAGAAACTTCGCCGTGGGCTGGGGTGGTGCATCAACCTCGAAGAATCCATGTTCCTTCGAACAGTATTGTGGTCGTGCAGCGTTTTCCGAGCCAGAGTCGAGAGCTGTGCGGCAGATCCTGCACCATTTGATGGCGACAAAAAGGGGCAGCATGTATATTTCCATACATTCGTATGGCTCGTGGATTCTCTACCCATGGTCTTATGCAAAGTGAGTGCCAAAGTCAACGCCAACCCAGATCTTCCTCATTTATCATTCATTCCTCCCCAGAATCGCTGCCAAAAACACCCAAGAGCACGCTGAGATCGCACAGGCTGGCGTGGCTGCTGTAGCCAGTGCGCCATTCGATTCACCCACAAAGTACAAGGCAAAGGCCAGCCATGAATTGTATCCTGCGGGTGGCACCTCCACGGACTATGCCTACAGCATTGGTTTCCCCCTGGCCTATACGCTGGAACTACCGGGGAGCAGAGGCAATGCCACATTTTTCTTTCATCCTCCCAGGCATCTCATAAGCGAACTTGTGCAGGAAACTTGGATTGGACTGCGTGCCATGGCGCAGAAAACCATCGAAAAGTGTTCGAAATCAAAGAGCAAGCACCCCCACAATGCTATGTGCTAGAAGCCCAATAAATCGGTGACCAAAATCCCCGTTTCAGACTTACTTTGTGTAGCCCCAGGGCAGTAGAAGGGAGTTCCCAAAAGAATGCAGCGACAGGTACCACCTCAGACGCTCACTATGGTGCAGCAGAATATCCCTCAAGACCTGCGACTCTGGCTGATCGAAGGGCCGCTCGCCACGGTAGATATCCTCACAGGGCAGCGACGAAGAGCCCTCATCGTGTCCCCATTCGTAGCCAAAGTTGCGATTGATATCCGTGCCCACACACTCGGGATCGCTGGTGGGTTTCCGCGTCTTGCGCCAGTAGCGGGCCTCCGAGTGTGTGTGCTCATAGCCATCGGCATTCACCACGGGCACAATCACCCAGTCGTAGTCCTGCAGCAGTTCCTGATTTTCCTCAAAGTGCTCCAGCAGCTGCTGGATAATGTACAGCGCCATCGAGGGGGAGATCCATTCGCGCGCATGCACCGTGCCATCGATGAGGATCACCGGCTTGTTGCGCCGCCCATCCCCGTTGCTGATGGTCAGCACTTTGATTGGACGCCGCTCGTAGCTCCAGCCAAACAGCTTGACCTGTGCGCGCCTGGGGTAACGCTCGGGCAGGCTGTCCAAGTACTCATTGATCTCCGCGAGCGTGTAGAAGGCTGCCAGCACATCGATGTGGGGCAGCTGAAGGCGCTGCTTCCGGCGCAGGTACTCCGCTCGCTGGGCCTGCACCAGTGGTGCCAGATCCTCAATCAGCAGACGATGCTGGAGTCGATGGCCATCGAAGAGAGCAACCAAACTGGCCACTTCCTCGTGTGGCACCATCACCCGCACCGTGCTGTCGTTCTGCCTGCGGCGTGGACCCAAAAAGTCCCAGTGCGGCTGCTCCCTAGCCAACTGCCGCAGCAGACTCTGCTCGTTGGCATCGCGCGGTGTCAGCTCATAGACATGGTAGTCCTTGTAGTCCTGCCAGGCAAACAGCAGGCTGATCTGCAGCAGCAGCAGCAGCAGCAGCAGAATTGAGAGTCCAATTAATGTCATAACTGCTTGATGGCCCGATATTGACTGAGCTACCAAAATGTTACGCGAAATAATGTTATTATGAGAGTTTTATCACTTTATTGGAGACCCGAACCGACATCTTTTATATGCTTCCGTTTATTGGTGTTTATCAACGGCACACCCCAACCCACTGGTAAATGGGCACGGAAAATGAGCACCTCTGCTGCTTGCGTAGTGCCGCGTCTCGCAACGTTTCCTCGCAGAACTCTCACCAATTACATGAATTACTCAACTCTTTAATGCTTAGTCCCTAATTAGTTTAGTTAACAAACAATAAATTCAAATTGCTTCAACAGCTTACAGGGGCTTACGTAGCCCCTGCCTGTGTCTTTCTTCTAGTACAAACTGACATGTCGTATGAACTCCACGAAGCCGGCAAATGTCTCCTTGCAGACGTTTATGATGTCCGAGGATGGCACATGGAACTCATCGCCGGGCAGCTCGAGCGTGTAGGACAGTGGTATGCCCAGGCTGCCGTAGGCAAAGTCATCCAAACTGCCGGAAGCCTCGTACAGAATGGAGGCCGAAGTGCCGATGGTGTAGCGAGTGCCGCGGTACTTGCCGATTTGGTTGGCGGCTCTCAGGGCCACCGAGCGGAGTGTTCCCACGGTGGGGGGCACTGTGTTTCTGTGAAAATTTAAATGGAAATATTTCGGATTTAATTGCTTTTAGCAAATAATTGAAAAGTAAATTGAATTTCTTTTCGCTGCATGTCTGGACACAACAACCATCCCGCCCCTGGTTACTCACTTCGCATAGCCGTAGGGATAAAAAATGAATTTGCCAAATGAGTGAACATCCAGGCTGAGTTTCACACGATGCCGATTGAATTCCAAATAGCGCACAACGGCCGATGTTTCCGGCTCCGAATTGGGCGACGTGCCCGAGTACACCTCCGAGCAGAGCTGCAAGCAGAAAGAATCGGATTAAGTTCTCGGAGGGAAGGTCAATGGCAGTGCAACATGTTGCTTACATTCTGACTGGCACCCTGATAGTTCCAATGATTGCCAAAGTTACGATTGATGTCCACACCAGAGCAGGCATGGCCGGCATACCTATGACGATTCTTGCGCCAAAAGCGATCCGATGTGTGCGTGTACTCATAACCATCGGGATTGACCAGCGGCACCAGGAACACCTCCACATCCTGCAGCACACGCTGGAAGGCGCGCAGATTGCTCAGCAGCTCGTAGGCCAGATACAGCACCGTCTGTGTGGTGATCCACTCCCTGCCATGCGCCGCTGCCTGTATATAAGCCACACGACGCGGTCGCGTCCTCGTGTTCAGCGAAATGGACAGACCAGCAATGTGGCGGCCCTCGTTGGAGCGCCCCAGTGACTCGTAGCGACAGTACTGGGGATAGCGTGAGGCCAGGCCGCTCATAAAACTGAGAATCTCGCTGTAGCGTGGGTAGTGGGAGAAGAAGCCACGCGCCTGACGACGCGAGCGACGACGTGGTCGCTGCGACTCGCCGCAGTCTGCCGACTGGCACTCCTCGTACTCCCCCTCGACATCCTCATCCGCATACGTGCTGTTTGCCTGCAAGGCAGCCATCAGTTCCATTAGCGGCTGCACCTGATAGCTGACACCCAGATTGGAGAGACGCGACTCGAATTGCGACTTGTGCGTGGGACTCACTGTCAGCACGGACATGTTGCGGGTGAGCAGCCAAAAGTCCAAATCCGTATCGTTCGTTTGCAGATCAACCATATAGCGGAAGGCATTCTCATTGCCATGTTCTACGGTGTATTTTGTATAGCTAAAAGTGAAATGAAAAGAGTTTTTAACTGTTGCTTAATGTATACAGACATCGTAAGCAACATTCACAGGCGCTGATGTTGCAATAGATTGATGCAGAGACCCAACCGACTAACTGCTCTTTGTTGTATATTTGTTGCTGCAATACTTTCATGCTAAGCTTTTTCCTTTCCTGCTTGCACTGCTAAGCGCGCTCTCTCTGGAAGCTTGCTCTCTTCGTTGTCTAAGTCTCTATGCTGCTGAGCGAAGCTGCGCTCAGCGAGATCCGAATGGCAATGCAGAGCTTTCTCCAATTTGGATATTTGTCTTAAATAATCGTAATATTTATTTGCCCATTTGCGGATAAAAACCTTAATCTGCACAAATTTGTTATGCCAATTGCTGCTGCATTCTGCTTAGGGAAATCCCGATGATTGCTCCACATTTCTCTAGCTAATTGGACAACAAATTAATTTACGGCACTCTCGCAATCGGCCTCCGCTCTCACCCTCGCCATCGCCCTCGCTGTGGCGTCAAAGTGAGTTGTTGATTCATAGATTTATGCAAAGTGGATCGGCGCCGTCTCTCCCCCGGAACGTATTTGTTGGCGCTTTGCCACCTCTAACAAATTTGTGGCCAATTTATCATTTCATAAAATTCCACACAACGGACTAGAAATAATGAAGCAACAGGCAGGCAAAAGCAATGCCAAACAAGCAACAAACGTCTTTGGGTGCATATTCATCACCGGCCCCCCCACACACCCCTCATCAGGTCCGACCTGTGTACGAATCACGTGTGGCTGCAGTCATCGGGGGAGGGGGAGGGGAAACTGAATGATAATTTAATTAGGACCCCCCGCTGGTTTATCATTTTTCCATTTTTACATAAAGTTACAGTTTACATCTATGAATTTTGTTAGTTTTTTCCAAACAAAAGGCGAAAGGCCTTGTGGAAAATCTATGTAAATCTCTATACATTTTAGGTGTTGAAATCCCCCGACTAGACACAGACTCCGCTGCGGAAGGAAGCAACCAATTGATGAGAGTCATTGCGGACCACATTGGTGGTGCATCATGGCTAAAACCGCAAAGCAATCATCCATCATCGTGGAGTACACCACCACATGAGGCTACATGAGGCTACATGCTCCATGCTCCCTGCTGCTGTTGGATTCTGTCTGTCTGTCCGGCAATTACAAATCGCGCAAATTATCAATGGGAATTGCTCGTTTATGCACGGCTGCTGACCAAAACGACAAAACGTTTAGTGAATGCCTCATTATGACGGCTTCTAAACGCTACACAACGGCCATGGTCGGCGGATTTATTGAACAAATAAAGGTGGAAATAAAGTACACAGCTTTTAGGAAATTTTTAGCACTTAAGAACTTGTAAAGACAAAAGCGAGACCTCATAAGAAACCTTTAAATATCCTAAACCGAATCCCAGTAGCTCATAAATTTTCCTGCCAAAAAGGAGTACCAAAAATGCCTCAAAAATATGGCCAATGGCTCTACCAGATCTATCGCTATTTCTGGCTGCTCTCCGTGCTAATCATACCCTGCATGGCGCTCAAATTGAAGGTGGCACAGCCCAGCACCCTGGACTGCTACATTATGTTTGGTTCCATGGCACTGGGCGCCATACAATTGATAGAGAATCAACGTCCCGGACAACAACAACGCTAGCATGTGGATCGCAGAGGGGAAGGTAAGGTAACCCGTTTTGCTGCTGTCCATTAAAAGATTTTGGCAACAAAAATCCAATTAATGACTGGCCCTAAAGTCGAGTCTTGCCTTGATTGATGGGCACTACATTTTTGAGATTATTTTTACTCGTTTCGCTGGATATGATAATGATAATTAATATTGCTTTGCATTATTTGTACCCTTCATAGCCGGCCAGATTGTTGCCCAGACTGTTGCCCGCCAGGCCGATCAGACACAGCGTCAAGCTGCACACGATTCGCTGCAACATGTTGCGCCGCCGTGTGGCCTCCGATGATATGTCTACTTTATAGTATGTAAGATGCACAATCTTTTGTTAAATCGCCTGGCCAATTGTGTATTAAAATATGCAATTGCATGGACAAGCACAACGAGTTTTCGTTTTCTTTTTTGCACTTTTTATTGGTTTTTGTTTGCTGTATTATTTGCACGGCTGCACTTGTTGCACGCTTATGCAATGCTTACGAAGAGCACACAAATTAGTTAGTTACTAGTTAAACACTTCGTCTTGGGCTTCGGGTGGAGTTAGGTTTCCGTGCGTTCCATCTTCGCTTCGGGCGCAGACTGACGGCCAGCACGAACTGCGGCCGCGAAAGAAGACGATGCTGGGACCAAAACCAAAACCAAACCGAAGCCGAAATCCGCGCTTATTGTTTAGAAAAGTGAGTGTCAAGGTCAGGCGACCAGTTTCGGTTTTCGAACACCGAACGCGTCACGAGACAGCAAAGCGGCGGGAGGGCAGATCCAAAATCCCCCAAAACTCGGCACGCGTCTCAGACTAACTAAATATTTCCGATTAGAACTGAAGGGTTATGGATTGATTCTTCGTTCTATTAGTTTTATGTTCAGTTTTTGCTCTTTTCTTTAATTGCGTGCGATAATTATTTGATTGGAAACTTGTTTTTCTCTATATATTTCGTATTTATAAATATAATTTTATTGTTGTATGCTTTGCATCCGCTTGTGGCGGTTCGTGAAACGATTCTGAAGCTGTTGCTTGCTTATTTAGTGGTTTTTATACGAGGAACTTGTATTTGGCTTCCTAGTGTCAAGCCTCAAGCCCGACAGATGATGATGCTGCGGCTGGGGCGAGTGTTCTATGGACTCGTATTTGAAAGTTATACGATTGGGCACTGAACTTTCCAAAAATAAAGCAAGGTCAAAACAGCGGAAGAGGCGCAGGGAAGAGTTTCAGCCCACAATGAGGTTCATTCAATCTTTGAGAGCGTCTCATCAAGCCATAGATCTTCACATCTGACTTGACTTTGCTTTTGTGCGTAATTATAGCACTTGGCCACTAGCTGCCAGTGGCACTTCCGCACCATCATCGATCGACACTCTGGGAGCAGATGGACTGCCGCCATATTTCCGGTGAAACTGCAAAAAAACAACAACAAAAAACTAGCTTAAGCGCTTAAAATTTGCATTTGAAATTAAGCGACAGACTAGCCTAATGGCAGCTCTGCATTTCGTGTTCTAAATCATTTTATAATTTATTTGAGAGAGTCCCCGCAGGGCGTTCA